TTTTAAATGTCTCATTTGTAGGCTATCAGTTCCTGTCTCTGGCTGTGCTCAGTGTATCAACCACTTCTGAGGAGGCGTGCATACTTCAGAAATGCCCCCACTGCAAAAAGTTACCAGCAAGGTCGCTGAAGGGACGATCTCTCCAACTAAAATATCTCTTCATGGAGAAGTCCCTAAGACCCTCTTTGGAACCAGTCTCTACCTCAGCAAGGGTCAGTGTCAGCAGCCTGGGATCTGAGTTTACCTATTCCTTTGCCTCAAGATTTAATTGTTGAAAATACCACGAAACTAAAATGGCAGTCGTCCCCATCGAGTGAACAGCTGGCAAAAAAAAGTTCCCCAGGGCAAAATTGCCTTGGAATCACTAGTACCATCCTCATTGGATTGACCGTCTGGTGCTATGTATATTAGCCATGTATGTGTCTGCAATAAAGGATTAATAGACACAAATCAGACATCAGGCATGGTAACACACATAAACCTGTAGGGGAGTATTTTAACTTCCCTGGACATTCAATAATGGATATAAAAGTAGCCATTCTTCTACATAGGAATTTTATCACTCCGTTACAGAGGGAAACTGCTGAATTGGAATTCATTTACAAATTCGGCACTCTCAATGTGGGCTCGAATAAAGATTGTAACTGGTTAACGTAGTACAAAGGCAGTTTTCCGCACATTTGACATTTAAATTTGCATATCAGATGCTACGAATGGGACACATGCAGCCAGACTCAATTAACTAACACACACGCACATGAGCACACACTTCTCTAATTTCTACTCCAACTCCTGTGGTGATGTGGGTTTACCCATAAAAGCTCATGATATATTTGTTAGTCTCTAAGCTGCCACATGACTGCTCATTGTTTTCAAAATTACAGATTAACATGGCTACCCCTCTTAGACTTTATCAGTAACCAGTTTGCTTAAAAATTAAATAAAACCGAGCTCCATAAGTAATGCTCTTCTGGCTGGCAAAGCCTTGGAGAAACAGACAAGAACAAAAATGTCAAACCCCAATGTCCTCAGCCATTTTTCGTTCATATAACTTCCCATTTCCCAAATTCCCAATGAAGTGTTGTTAGAGGAGGTTTTGGAACAAATAGAAAAACTTGACGTGAACAAATCACCGGGACCGGATGGCATTCACCCAAGGGTTCTAAACTCAAATGGGAAATTGCAGAACTGTTAACTGTGGTTTGTAATCTATCCTTTAAATCGGCTTCCGTACCTACTGACTGGAAGATAGCTAACGTGACACCAATATTTAAAAAGGGCTCTAGAGGTGATCCTGGCAATTACAGACTGGTAAGTCTAACGTCGGAACCGGGCAAATTAGTCGAAACAATAGTTAAGAAGAAAATTGTTAGGCACGTAGAAGGACATAGTTTGTTGGGCAAAAGTCAACATGGTTTCTGTAAAGGGAAATCATGTCTTACTAATCCATTAGAGTTATTTGAAGGGGTTAACAAACATGCGGACAAGGGGGATCCGGTAGATATTGTATACTTAGATTTTCAGAAAGCCTTTGACAGAGTCCCTCACCAAAGGCTCTTGTGTAAATTACATTGTCATGGGATAAGAGGGAAGGTCCTTTCATGGATTGAGAACTGGTTAAAAGACAGGAAACAAAGGGTAGGAATAAATGGTAAATTTTCAGAATGGAGAGGGTGTCCATTTAAATGGTGTCCCCCAAGGGTCAGTCCTAGGACCAATCCTATTCAACTTATTCATAAATGATCTAGAGAAAGGGGCAAGCAATGAGGTAGTAAAGTTTGCGGATGATACTAAACTGTTCAAGTTAGTCAAGACAGAAGAAGACTGTGAAGAACTTAAAGATCTCACAAAACTGAGAGATTGGGCAACAAAATGGCAAATGTAATATGATGAAGGCTAATTTGGCTATGACAAATCAGGAAGGAGATTTTGGGGTTATCGTGGATAGTTCTCTGAAAACATCCACACAGTGTGCTGCGGCGGTTAAAAAGGCAAATAGAATGTTAGGAATTTATTAAGAAAGGGATAGAAAATAAGACACAGAATATCTTACTGCCCCTGTATAAAACTATGGTACGCCTACATCTTGAATACTGTGTACAGATGTGGTCTCCTTACCTCAAGGATATTTTGGCCTTGGAAAGGGTTCAGAAAAGGGCAACTAAAATGATCAGGGGTTTGGAACAGGTCACATATGAGGAGAGGCTAAAGCGACTGGGACTTTTTGGTTTGGAAAAGAGGAGACG